CTTACACTGGATTCCCAGTCATGTAGGGATCGGAGGAAACGACGTGGCAGACGAAGCAGCCAAGGCAGCTACACGCTCTAGTAGCGTACACATCCAAGTTCCAGCAAGTGTGCAACAGATCAAGAATCACCTCAGAAAGACCACCAAGCTCCACATCAAAAAGAGCTTCCTTCACGCACTCAACGCTGGTTCCCAATCAGCCAAATGGTACCTGGCGGCCACAAAAGGGGAACCACCTTTCGCAGACAAGAAAACTCCAAGACAAACCCAAGTCAGCCTTCACCGACTACGACTAGGGTACAAGTGCTCCTGGCAGATGATCGGAAACGACGTCATGGAATGCACCTACTGTCAGGAGCCAGCAGCCAACCCACTTGAACACTATCTCCTCGATTGCGAGGTCACACAAAGCCTCCGAAACAGAACTCAAATTCTCCCAAGAAACACACACAACACCAGCGGCCACTCTAACCCGAAAGGCCCATACAGACCACATTCACCACCTACTCCGGGTCATCACACGATACCCACCACCCAGATAGCTTAGAAAGCATCCTCTCCCAGCAAGTGCGGACCCCAGTTCGGGGGGCGCGCCACTCCGAGGCTGACCACGTCCAAGAGTGGGGGCCGGTGGTAAGCGTCCACTGATCGGGGGTCCGCTCACACTTGCAACCTGCAGTATCCCTCCAATCTGCAGGTGGGACCACCTCCAATCCCAATCCGGTCTGGCTGCTCCTGGAGCTCCAGCCGGAACCACCAAACGGGCCGCCTATAGGCAAAGGCCCGTGTCGGACTACGGTCCGATAATCTATACAACAACAACAACAACTTATTTCCTATAAAGAATTCATTTAGAATGTATTTTATTTACATCACTTTTCATAAAAAAAGTGCTCGGCGACACACACGCAATCTGTCGCCAGGCTGTCTGGCTAGGGTGTGTCAATTTTGTCAACATGTTAAAAATCAAATTTGGTAGTCAAAATATTGTGCCTCTTTATGTCTAAACTTGAGATTAGCAAACAAAAATGAATTGAAATAACCCTCACCTACATCAATTATACCTTAAAGTTTCAAATATCAGTATTTCAACAAATTAATGAGACTTGATTAGAATTATTCACTTGATATTAACTAATCTCATGTAAGCATATGGATTATGGAGTATTTTATGGTTCTATAGCTTGTGTACAATATGCATGTCAGAACATGAACATGAACAGGCTCTCCGTGTGGGACAGTTTAATTCTTGTTTTGACTTGTACCAAGCGTGAGGATAAGGCGCCCGGCTCACTCTCCTTCTAGATATCATAGACGGTGGTTTGCTCTCATTGCACTTGCACCTACTCTACCAGACGAATTCTACATTTTAATTATTGTAAGTAGGGCATATTGATTGTCGCAGTTACTTATATCATTGTATAAAACATTATGTTCTAAGAAATTATTATGTTATTTCTGTTACAGCATTTTTGATAAACAAATTGATATTTTTTGAAACAACAATTGAATTATGAAACATTGAAATATTTTTCTATTTGTCAGATAGTGTGAAGATGTCAAAATTGAAGACAAGAAGTCAGTTGTCAACCCACTTGAGCCTGCTAGTTGGTAAAGGGAAGGAGCTTCCTGTATCAGAACTTCCAACAGTGAGAGACATGCTAAGATTAGGGTTACTCCTTCGAGAAAAAAATGCAAAGGACAGAAGGAACTATACAGATAAAGAACTCATAAATGACATGATAGTCCCTCTTCTGCATCAATGGACAAAAGCTAATGCACTATTCAAACCACCTGTGATTAATCAGTGTCGAACTATTGAGCTAAAACTAACGAAATTATGGCACAAAGCAGTTGAAACATCACTTGGTAAAGGAAACTTGGCCAGGAAAATGAATTTCTGCACACACTTGATACTCTGTTTGACATTTTGACCTGCAAGTGCTCCATACAATTATGTTCTGAATCCAACTGTTCTCACTCAGGTAAGAGAGAAAATAATTCCCACATTGATTGTGGTTGTCCTCGTGAAAAGAAGATCCCTGTTTTAGAGCTTGAATTTATAAAGGCACAGAGGACAAAGGCAGAAGGCCAAGGAAGTATGCAAATGGGTTCAATAGATTATTCAGAAACAAAGAAGCAGATTGCTAATGCCAAGAAGAGAGAACAAATCCGAGAGAGGGAACAAAAGAAGAAAATGAAGAGTGAAGAAGCCATCCAAAGAGAGGAAGAGCTGTGTCAAGATGTTTATCACTTCTTTGATAGTTCTTCTGATGAACAGGAAGCAACATCAGATGATAGTTCCAAAGAGCCATCTGAACCTTTACCAAAGAAAATGAAATACAACACAAGAAATATTTCAAACATTGCTTTAGCTAGTATTCGCCACCATGCTGGACTTCGTGAGGCTGCAGAAATTGCAACTGCCGCTTGGATAGATGCAGGCCTCATCAGCCGAGAGGATGTATCTTTGGTGATAGATCATAATAAAATTAGAAGAGCACAAGAAAAAATAATGAAGGAAATATCTGATCAGCATGAAAAAGATTTAAGCGAGGGAGGGCTCTCCTGTCTTTTGTTTGATGGAAGAATAGATGACACAAAAGTTTTGCTAGAAGTAGAGGGAGTGAACAGAAAGTTTCCAGGTCTCATCAAAGAAGAACACTACTCTGTCTGTTCTGAGCCTGGTGGTCGGTTTTTGTTTCACTTTGCTCCCGAAACTGAAGTAGAAGGGAAGAAACATGCAGAGGTCATTGCTGATCATATTTTATGTTGGGTTCAGGAGAGAGGACTTGGCAGTTCACTGCAGGCTGTTGGTGGAGATTCAACTGCAGTGAACACCGGATGGCAGGGGGGTGTAATGACGCATTTAGAGAAAAAACTAGGAAGAAGACTTGTTTGGATTGTATGTGATTTACATACAGGCGAGCTACCTCTTCGTCATCTCATCCAGGAACTTGATGGTCCTACAAAGAGCAACAACAAGTGGTCAGGTCCCCTTGGCATCATGCTGGATGAAGCAACACAACTAGAAATAAATACAACCTTTCCAAAGGTCGAAGTTGGCCCTCCCCTTCCGGCGTTGTCTGAAGGAGTCATCAAAGATCTCAGCACAGATCAATCCTATGCTTATCGTATTGCCCAAGCAATAAGATCAGGAGAAGTGCCTCAGTCATTGGCTCTCTTGGATATTGGACCTGTCAGTCACAGCCGTTGGTTAACTACAGCTCTTCGTTTCTGCAGGATTTGGATTTCCAAACACGAATTGAAGGGCAAAGTGCTGAAGAATTTGAGGTTAATTGTTGAATTTATTATTGGAGTTTATCTTCCCCAGTGGTTTAGTGTGAAACTTAATCCTATGTGGGTGGATGGGCCCAATCACCTTTTGTTTCAATTGCAGCTAGTAAGAACACAGAGGAAGGTAGTGAGGGACATCGTGTTACCTGTGGCAAGAAGGTCCGCTTGGTATGCTCGATCAGAAGCAGTTTTGCAAGCAATGCTTTGCAGTCAATGTACCAATCTCCGAACCGAGGCTGTAGAAGTCATTCTAAAGATTAGAGGAACGCTAATAGATGACGACCAGTTGGGAGACTGTTCGTTTCATTCAAGAAAAGTTCCCCCAATAAACGTCAATGCCACCAAATTGTCAGAATTGGTTGACTTGAGTTTGGAAGTCTTAGAGCCACCATTGACAACAAGTCTAACTAGCCAAGAATTGAGAAACCTTAAAGAGACTCCAATGCAGGTGCCGAAGTGGCCTTCCCACACTCAAAGTGTGGAGAGATGTGTGAAAATGGTCACAGAAGCAGCGGGCCATGTTTACAGCCACGAGAGGCGAGAAGGTTACATCAAAGCACAAATAGCAAGCAGACTACTGATGACAAGAAACCAAAGCAAAGAGAGTATGAAGGCATTGGTTACTTTCAAATAGACTACGGATAATAAAATATAATAATTTGAAACTTGAAACAGTAACATGTGTGCAAACGCTGGTTATGTTATAAATTCACAAATATGTACATTTAAAAATCCATTTGATGTAGGTAGGACTTATTATAAAAAAAAATTTATGCCAGAATATTGTTTTGCATGCTTAAAGACTACAATAAATTGCTACCAAATTACTCGATTTTCAATTTAGCCAGTTCACCCCCTAAATTGACACACCCTGTCTGGCTGTCTTTGTGTTCGGGAGAGTACATATGTCATACAAATAATTATCGGAATAATAATTCCACAAATAAATACATTTATAACATAATCATTGCATTATCATCTTGTAATACGACACTACAATACAACTACACTACTTTTAGCAATATTACTTTGATACAACATGATAAAATGGACAAACTATGAAAAATAAAAAACAAAAGAAGGTAATTACCAAGAAAATTCCCTCTGACCACACGTAGGGTGCTGAGGTAGTGGTGGTGGTGATACGTGGTGGTGTTGGTGATACCCTGACACTTTGTACTTAACATATACACTTACACTACTATTTATACTATTTACCAGCACGTGCCACATTGTTTTAGAATGTTTTCATAGAGTGGTACTCCATAAAGCAAGGTATACAGAGACCAACGTCACACTCCTAGCTGGGCGCTTTGTGGTGTTCTTGCAGACATATCACCGTCTTTGCACCTTTTGACCACCTTGAAGAGTTGGGAGGTCGTCAAGGCAGTGATGAACAACCCAGTCACGTGCAAGGAGTCTGTCAGGTAGACCTGCTTGGCTGTGACGTTGTGGTACAGCTGCCACAATGTTGTGATACTTCTCTAGGAGTTGTGTTATAACTTGCTTCTGAAAAACCCCGAGAGAGGGTTTTCCCGGTTTTTACAAGGTACAAGTTTTACGCATTCAGGATGGTGATGTCCAGGAGGTGTAGGAACATTTTTTTGTACCATTTGACACATTTCAGTACACACTTAATTGCGCCAACCTGCATGTCACTCTTGTCCACGAGCCGCATTTTGACATTGTAGTCCACGACAGCGTCAGGTTTTTTTCATGACCTCTCCTGTGGTCCAGTCCTTTTTTTTACTGTCCACCAGTTTGCCCTTGTGCACGGTTGACAGCATCTGCACAATAAGCTTATCATGCCAGCGTATTGCAAGCATTTTGTCTGCTTGAATCAGCTGGATCTCTCCTCGTGCAGGTTTACCAGTAAACATGGGCCAGTGTTTCCTGTTCTTGCGTACAGTCCCACAAAAACCTGTGTCATGTTCAAGTAGGAACTTGGCCAGGGCAGGAGAAGTATAATAATTATCAGTGTAGAGGACGTGATTCCCTCCAAAGTAGCGGTCCATAAGTTTCTTGACTACAGTGCCAGAGAAACCATGTGGGTCGCCCTTGGGTATGTCTACGTCACTTGCTGTGTAAACAACGAGATCTAAGACATACCCAGTACAGCAGTCACACAGCACAAGGAACTTGATCCCAAGGCGATGTCGTTTGGAGGGAATGTATTGTCTAAAAACAACACATCCTCTGAAAAGCACCAGAGACTCGTCCACCACTACATTCAGAAACGGTCTGAAGAACTTCATAAAACGTTCATTCAGCATTGTAAAAACTTTCCTTATTTTCCATAGTCTATCACCAGCCACAGGAATGTTGTTATCTACGAAGTGTAGATAACGTAGGATGGAGGCAAACCGGTCTCTGGACATTAATTTTGCAAACAATGGAGTTGTTGTGATGTCATCAGGAGATATCCAGTACTCCTGAAGTACATGTTTTTTCACAGGTGCCATCAGCATCAGTAATGCAAAAAACACATACGGTTCGGAAACACCGACATCACTCTATCGACGCATGTGTGGCGAGGGTCCAGGGCCTAGGTAAGCATCACACGTGTACAGATAGAATTTTATTTGTCTCGGTACACAGTAAGTCCATGATTGCACCATCAAAGAAAGCACAAAAATACTCCATTTCACGTGATTCCTCTGTACAAGGAAAATCAGGAGTAATTCCACCTGATGATAGTCTGAAATCAGGGATGCCAGGCTGAAAATTACTGCCATCAGACCAAACAAAGGTATCTGTTGTCCCTCGTCTGAGCCGTGAGTGCACGGCGGGTGTTACCGCCACAGTAAGATAAACTAGAAGAGAGAGAGAGAAAGAGAGGGATAGCCACAGTAAGATAAACTTGACGAGAGAGAGAGAGGGTGAGAGGAGAGACAGAGTGTTGACAACGAACTTTGCTGAGGTTGTTAGCGCTACGTGCCGGCCACATGTTCAGTAAAGAAACTGTTTTCTACTCATGATAGCTGACTAAGCAAGTTGGAGGTAGCAGCCGTATGACTGCCTGAGGGGCAGAGAATCGCCGTCTATCATAGAGATACCATCTAGAATTTCGCTCCTACCAACATCTAACAAGAAGATATTGTATTCGTCCTCGTTGGTCAAACCCTAGACCCCAAAACGTGAGTGTGATTGTGAACTATTAAATCCTCTAAGAACTCTAAATAACTTTAATAAGTGTATTTATGTACTGTATATTGATCATATTATACAAACTGTGTCCTGATGTATCAGTAGTTGTAACATGTGAGTTATATTTAAGAGGTTAATAGGTTATGTATTGTATATTGATCATACTATTCAAACTGTGTGTCCTGATATACCAGCATTTGTTATATGTGAATTGTTCTTTAACAGGTTTTGACCGAATTATACTCATCGCGTCAACGACAAGGGTCTTATAATCCAGCACAAACCAATAACGCTCCTATGAGCGTTAACAGCGGGGTTTCGCCGTTCTGGGCGGGCCTCGCTGCCAGCGTCATTGATCTTCCTCACTTGTCTCTTATACATCTTCTAACTCGATGCTATCATCAGGACCACTAAGCATATAATCACTGGCTTCTTCACCACTTTCACCAGATTCGACCACTACAGCACTCACATCAAATAGTTCTTTCCTTAGCTGGCTATCATCCAACGCACGGTCGCCGGCGGCGACGCTTGATTAGAGTGGAAGGTGAGGGTCAACTCTCCATGATGACTGGGGAAGGGTTACTGACGGCTTTGAGCCCACCCACGCTCCCCTCTCTGTGCTATGACAGACAAATAGTCGCTGGTACCTGTTAACCCCGGATGGTCATTCAAACAGTGGTGAGAAAAGGTGGGCGTTCTGGAACGTCACCCGGGGTGTAAGGGTGAAAGAGTTCCAAAACTTAATTATACCGATTAATGTGATACCAAAACAGCTATCACATGTGGACACAGTGAATATGAACAAACACAAACATAAAATGATGGTGATCTCGAATGTGACCAAAGTCTGCTGATGTCTTCCACTGAAATACAGCAACTGGTGAGCAGTACATGATCCAGAAATTTTTCAAAAAAATTTTAAAGCCTTCTTCCTGCAGAAGGGACAGGCAGCAAGTATAGTACATAATGGCGAGTGTTAGTACCAGACAGAGATACACAGAGGTGAAAGCGATGAGTTGGAACATCTCATACCTTAGAAAACGATACCCTGACCTCCACCACAAAGTTGTGACTGACAACATCGATAATGTGTGACTTCAGGAATGTCTCACACCTAATGGTAAGCCCTCACCTAGTTTGCTCAATTATGTGTATTATGATCCTAGTTTTACTCACACTTTGTCTAATGCAGTGGTTCTTAACCTTTTTAGGGTCGCGCCCCCCATAGCAGTTGGTCCTCATCTCCACGCCCCCCTCCTTCCTTCATATATAATTCTAAATCTAAAGAATCTAAAACAATTTCCTCTTGAATTTTATAAGAAAATTGAGAAACTAGTTTTTCATTCATTACTTTAATAACTTTAAATATTCGAAAGAGTCTGCATAAGCAATCGTCGCAGTCAGTGTTGAAAAATTTTCAAATGTGAATTATCGCAATGGAGCCTCAAAATTATCGTTTCTTCATCAAATTATCGTATACTTCCCAACTGGCTCAGTCAAGTTAATATTGTTATTATTATCCACTCTGTATCTGTGTTTTTCTGGCTAAATAAACTGTTTCAATTCAATTCTGTTTCAATAATTCAGTTACTTTTAGTTGAATTTTACATTTTGATTGACCCCGCTCCCCACACCCCACCCCACGAAAATCCAAATAAGGACATACACACACCTGTTAAGGCCATTCCTTATTTTTGCTCTGGGTTCACGCCCCCCTTGGAAATTACTCATGCTCCCTTAAGGGGGTGTGCCCCCCCCCCCTCCCCCGGTTAAGAATCGCTGGTCTGATGTATGTAAAGAAATCGCTACCACTTGTCCCTCTCATATCAAAAAAGATTATCAACTTCCAATATCATGGGATCCCTATCAACCTGAGCAACTCGACACTTAACGTGCTAAGCGCCTATGCGCCCTCAGATCAGCTTCACTACACAGATCTCCCAGACTTCGTATACATTGAACCCACTGTCCTAATTGGTGATCTGAACACTAGAGACAAGAAATTAGGTGACCCCACCACTAACACCAAAAATGGGAGACTTATCTCATTACTAAGCGCATATGAAGATGTTCAAATCATTGGTGATAGTGAGCCAACAGACATCTATGGCGGGGCTCTAACCGAATGTATTGGTTTTAATCTATCATACACAACTCTAAACTCTGAAGTATTTACTGATCTCATGTCTGATCACAAACCAATCCAAGCTAGTACACATGTAGTTAATGCCCCCCCCCCCTCCCCCCCTGGTGAAAACTTAACAGACGTAGACTTACAGTTAAGCAAGAACATGAAACCAGTTCATAGACATCATCTATGACTAGTAAAAACATTATAAGCCTGACAGTTACCAAAGTCTCCATGACGATCTTTTACTGTAGCTAGGACTTATGCATTCTTCTCCAATAATGCCTCTACCAAAAAGAGAAGGAAACGTGTTCAGCATAATAGGAACAGACCACAGCAGTGTTATGATGATGCCAGGCAGACTGGTAAGTGGTACAAACACCCCAGAACTCCTCAAATGGTCAAACTGTTTCAAGCTTCCCTCTCTATAGTCCTGGAACGCGTTAATGAACTTGGACAAAATGCATGGGAAAAATATGTTAACAGTCTATACCAACACACTCCCCTCAGCAAGGCTTGGAGGGTCATAAACACGGAGGTAAAAACAGTAGATACGACTCCCACCCAAACTCGCTGCAAAAATCGAATGAGCTAATAACAACGTGGGCTCAGGCCTCTAGCTATGATATGCTGCCATCTAGGACTCGAGAACTCCCTGATGCGAATGCGAAGTCTGTAGAGAAAAGTAATCTCATTAAATTATACTCGGCAAACAGCACGATAAGTGTGATGTTCCATATACTGAGTAGGAGCTTGAAGCCGCCCTCGCCAGGGGTAGAGCCACTGCCCCTGGTGAGGACTACTAAGGCGGGTGCCGAGCAATCCATCATTGGCATTGTACAATATGAGTCATGTCGAAGGCCATCTACCCACATCATGGACCAGCAGTATTGTTGTCCCATTTCGAAAGCCGTGACAGCCTGATGCCTTTCGTCCCATATCAATAACTAGCTGTCTTTGCAAAATCTTTGAGAGGATGGTTCTTGGCAGACTATTATACAGAATCATAGAACACATGTCTCCTAATATAAATGGCTTCACCCATGGTAAAAGTGTACATAATTGCATCAACACATTCCTAACTGTACATGGGGATGTAAGGCACAGATACATCACATTTCTTGACCTAAAAGCTGCAATACTGCCAATAGGCAACTTATATAAAATGAACTAGCCAAAATGGATGTAAGAGGTCGGCTGTTACACTGGATAAGTGGTTACCTCGCCAATAGAAGGGCTGCTGCACTGTTTCAGGGTTACATAGGTGCAGTCAGAGATGTGCAACTTGGCAGCCCCAAGGTGGAGTACTTAGTCCCATTTTGTTCAATGTTCTTATGATTGCATTATTGAAGTCAATCCCAGACAGCCCCAGCAATATTACTGGTAGCTATGTTGATGACATTCTTATACATTCTTAAACTCATCGTGAAATGGAAACCACCCAGAACCATGGATAATATAATCAGCCTGTGAGAACCTTGGTCTGATCACCTCCACTGAGAACACTAAGTGTATTCAACAAACAAGCTGGTATCCGCAAACGTGGACCATCAAAGCTTATCCCCTGTACCTCACCTGCTATACAACAAAAAGTCGCCAATGTACTGATAGGTTAAAACCCCTTAAATGTGTAGTGGGGTACAACCCACATTATAGCGCTGATACAAGAATTGTCAAAACAATGCTCTTATGCTATATAAGATATCTGATAGATTACCACGCACCAGCCCTGGTCTTTCGTGATGGGAAAGGCATTGACAAACTCGAAAAAATTTAAAATAAAGCCCTTAAAATTATTTTAGGCTATCCCATGAGCACTACAGTACTTAATATGAGGAAAGAATTAGGTATACCCAGTTTCAACCTCATGATAGCCTTGAGGCTTTTGCGTGATGATCTAAATAACATTGCTTCTAAGAAACTGCTTGTGAATCTAAATGGATCCAAACTACAGCTGCACATATGAGGATGCTGTGACTAGATCATCTATACAAAGCTGAGACACGGCAGCGCTTCCTGCCACCCTAGCGGACAGTTCCCTTCGATATTACAACACCCACGTACCCTCCTAAACGACTGACTACACATAATCCTTATCTCCAACACACTGCCGAATTAAGAGCTCTTGACCACATACTGTACATAACCTACAGACTGAAAATAACATCATGCAGACCATCTACA